TATCCTAGCGTGTTGGAAATGAGGATGAAAAGATTCCTCTTTACGGAACCAAAGGCCAGGCTGTCACATGTATTTGCAGGGAAAGAAAAGACCTTTTTTCATGTTTGTAAAGACCCCGCTTTTCACTGGCAATTAAAAATATCGTTTTCCAACAGAGGAATCTAAGATGGCTGAAAGACACTTAAGGAAATGCTCAACATCCTTAGTCATCAGAGAACTGCAAACCAAAACAACTCTCAGATTCCATCTTACTACCTCTAAGAATGGCCAAGATCAAAAACACTGATGGCAACTTATGCTGGAGAGGTTGTGGGGTAAAGGGAACACTTCTGCATTGCTGGTGGGAAAGCAAGCTGGTACAGCCCCTTTGGATGTTAGTGTGGCGATTTCTCAGAAAATTAAAAAACAACCTTCCTCAAGACCCAGTATATATCCAAAGGATGGGTATATATCCAAAGGATGCTCAATTGTGCCACAAGGACATGTTCTCAATTATATTCATAGCAGCATTGTTTGTCATACAGACCTGGAAACAACCTAAATGCCCCTTGACTGAAGAATGGATAAGGATGATGTGGTTCATTTATACAGCAGAAAAAAGATAGCGACATCTTGAAATTTGCAGGCAAATGGATGGAGCTAGAAAACATCATTTTGAGTGAGGTAACCCAGATCCAGAAAGATTATCACATGTACTCACTCATAAGTGGTTTTTAAACATAAAGCAAAGAAAACCAGCCCACAAATCACAATCCCAGAGAATTTAGACAACAATGAGGACCCTAAGAGAGACATAAATAGATCCAATCTACATGGGAAGTAGAAAAAGACAAGATCTCCTGACTAAATTGGGAGTATGGGGACCTTGGGAGAGGGCCAGAGGGGAAGAGAGAGGCCAGGATGGGAGCAGAGAAAAATGTAGAGCTCAAAAAAAAAAATCAATAAAAAATATCATTTCCAACATCTCTTTGAACTGCAGCTCCCACGTAAAAAATTAAGACATATTTCCCCTTTCTCTAAACAAATCTCTGTTGATATCAGTAAACGAATGAAATCTGACATTACCATACTGAACTGAAAATCTTCAAATGTGTTTTGAAACTGTTACTGGCCTGTCAAGTCTAACAAAGTATGGTTTTTAAATGGTGACAAATTAATTCCAGTTTAAACTTAATGTGATATACTTGGGCAGCACTTTGATCCCGTCCTGTTTCAGTACTAATTTTCTACAGTGTGTAATTTAGACAGACGGTTTCATTAAAATAACCAGAATGGCTTAAATAGCTTCACACGTCTGACTGGGTCGGGGCAGCAGCTGACTATAAGGCCCTGGCTCAGATCTATGCTTGACTCACGCCCTGTTTTGTAACTCATAACCGATAGTAAAATTACAAAACGATTGAAAATGAGCTACCGGTGACTAAATTTAGAAAGACACGTGGAGAAAGACAAATAGTCCTCATGATATTTCCAAAGCAGGTTCGCGTTAACGGCCTTATGTAATCACCAAATACGCTTTCCTCCTCGCACATATATCCTCTGATGCCGAACGCACGGAGTTTTACAAATGCCATGTGTCAGCTTGCACTAGTACAGAACCGTCCATGGTGCCTCTCTCCTCACTCTCCCCTGCCTGATTCTGCATCGATCTCCTCACCCCTGCCAGCTCACAAGTCTCCTGGGCGAATTTAGGAGCATTGGTAATTCTCTGCTCCAGGTCACAATCCAACTAAGATCTTTACAACTTCCCCTTTCAACAGCCTCTGAACCTTAATCACAGAAATCCCTTCTTTGGTGGGAGGAGGAGGTAAGGAGATTGTATTCAAACCGTTCCCTTCCCCAGTCTCAGAGTACAGAAAACTCTTCCAAAGCCCCAAATGCACCCTCCATTCCAGGTTCAGACCCCCGAGCATCCCGATTGCTTTGACAGATTGCAAACTCGCAGTCAGAGAAAGGAGCACAGAAGAGAAGTGAGCAGAAGGGCACAGGGCAGCGCAGTGTGGGGGGTCCCAGCAGGTGAAGGCTGTGTAGATACTCGGCCACCCCACCTTGCCAGCGGCAGGATGGGGCTAATGACACTGACCTCAGGATTGGCTGAAAACACTGGGGAAATCGGTGCTTTGCCTTGTAGTAGTTTGTATTAGTCTGTCAAGATTTAAAGTCACGGAAACTTTATGGAACTGGTAGGGTTTCAACACAGTGGTTCTGACATAGAATTAATCTGTAAGTAAGCAGAACCTTGTCTGAGGAGTAAGTGGGGTTTGATATGTCTTCCAGTGTGTTCTGTGTGCGCCATGTGCTGCTCGCCCATTCCCCCACCCCATCGAAAGAAGCCGAGCATTGGCTCACGGCCCCTGCTGTGTAAGTCCACTCCCAGGGGTGTGTAAGACATCGCTCACGGCCCCTGCTGTGTGAGTCTACTCCCAGGGGTGTGTAAGACATCACTCACGGCCCCTGCTGTGTATGTCCACTCCCAGGGGTGTGTAAGCCATCGCTCACGGCCCCTGCTGTGTGAGTCTACTCCCAGGGGTGTGTAAGCCATCGCTCACAGCCTCTGCTGTGTATGTCCACTCCCAGGGGTGTGTATAAAACATCACTCACAGGGATATCTTCTCATGGAAACAAGTTCAAATGCTTCAACTTACAAACCAAGCATGTTGTACACAAAAGAATGGATACCTGGAAGATCAGGAGTAATGTAAACGCCCCCAGGTTGGGAAGTAGCTACTGGCGTCCCACTCAGGCACTGCTACACTACCTGTCCATATTGAAATCACCTAGCCAAAAGAATTTGCAAGAGCAGAAGCTTAGGGCCAAAGACTAACAAAGAGTTGAACGTGCAAGGTGACCCCAGACACACACAAATATGCACGGGGCAAGCAGTGTTAGGAACCAAAATGGGAAGGGTGATGACATGGGAGCTGGGAATTTAGGGCACCCTTTTTAAAATAAACCTAGCTGCATCTCACGTAGTTTTTGCAGTTTATAGGTATTATTTTATGGTAGACTATAAAACAATTAAAACCTTCATATCTAAAAATTACTATCATCTCCAACAGTTAGTGTTTCTGAAAAAATTGAGGGGTAGTCTCAGACTTAATCTGCATTTCCTTCCGGAGACTTGTAAGCCCATCTATAATTCACAGAAGACCTTAGCAAGCTACAGAATTAAATAAGAAACTAGCTACACACATACACATACCTTCCTACTTCTGTCTTGCATCTACCAGAGAGAGTGATAGCTTCCTGCCTGATTTGATTCATAATCGTAATTATTGTGCCAAATCCTATAAGCTTATGTTCCCAATATAGCACAGCACAGCATGGGCATAAGTTCTAAGATATCACTCAGTAATGCATAGAACATCAGAAAAATAAGCCAGCTATTTCAGTGTATGAATTTGCACCGGTGCATGTTCATGGGATTTCATTCACACGCACCTTCCATTCAGCAGACACGCAATTTATAGGATTCCACAAAGAACTTGCAAAGGAAAATCTCTCGCATAGTAGATGGAAAATCAAAGGGCTGGAGGGCGAGGGGAGCAGGTTCTGTCACTATGAGCAAGGCAAGAATGTCATCCAGTAAATAAGGACTACCACATCTTTCCTGGTGTGTCTTTTGCCTCATGGCAAGTACAACCTGTTAGACAGAGTGTGTGCTGCTCAGTTTAAGAAGCAAAGTCGCTAAACATTTGACCTGTAAAAACGGATTCCAGAGTGCATTCTGCATGTGTGTAAATCGTAAACAGACAGCGGATGCAGAGGACTGGGCAATAGCCTGCAAAGACACCATTTTTCCTGGCAAGTAAGGATGTCATTGCTGAAGAATGACGTTTCCTGCCTGTGCTCTGGACCCTCTCTGCTCTTCTGTCCCTTCCCGTTTGAGCAGAGGAAGAGAGAGGGAGAACAAAAAGAGGTGGCGAGAGGAAAGAGACAGAGACACAACTAGAAATGTAGAGGGGACAGAGGTAGAGATGAGAACGACGAGACGAGAGATGGACAGGAGGAAACAAGAGGAGGAGAGGAGAAGAGAGGAGGGGCGAGAGGGCCAATTAAGACTTCCTCAGATGCTGGGAATACATCGTACCTTACCCTGGCCACAAGTGTGAGCCCTCCTTGAAATTTTTTTCCCCAGCAGAGTGGGCCTGTGAACCCCTGCCAAGCAGCTTGTACCCTCTAGCAGTACTAATGGAAACGGATGGTTGCGAGCTGCGGTCCTTCTAACTAGCTCAAGTGCTCCCTTGGGGATGAACAGTGGTAAACAGGAAACCAAGCAGCATGCGCTGTCCAATGGGACCACTTCAACTTGCAATCCTTTTGATTAGCCAGGACAATTTAGGGCAGGGAGGGACACAGGAGAGAAGGAGAGCACTGACTGCCTCCTAATGGCTTGCATTCGGAACACTGGGTATTACTAGTGTGCTAGGGAAAGGCTAGTGTTGGTACAGAGACGCTAACGGCCCAAATGAAGAGACCAGTGGAAACGACATCGCCAGCGTCTAGGAGGTGAGCCAGGTGGAGTCTCTGATCTCTGCGCTTGGCTCAGCCAAGACTATTTTGGATCTCTTTCCATGCCACATGCACAGCATCAGCCTGGCTTTAAAAAAAAAAAAAAAAGCAAAATCAGCAGCCTAATGGCCACTAGGAGGGAATCAGTGTGTTACACACTCGTCTAACAGCAGCAGACGTCCTTAACGCCCATGAACTTCTGAATCTCGTCCAACCTGAGCGGGAGGAAACAGCTTCTCTCAAGCCGCCTTCTGCTTCCGCTTGCAAAAACCTCTTTTCTCTCCTGTCTAACTCATCTCAGAGACCCTGCACCAGGAGCAGCGTTGTTCGGAAAGAAAGCATGGGTCAGGACACATTCAGCACAACTGAAGGATGGATGCAGGATTGCAGAGGTGGCAAGCCAAGGCAGTCCTGCCCTACGCGCTACAGGGGCTCACAACGGCCCAGGACCCCAAGACCATACAATGAAATCACAGGGGAGAACTTACCCAAAGTGACTGGATAAGGCCATGGAAACACAGAAGACAAGGAGGGTTTTGGTCATGATAAATCTAGACACCATGCCATTGTCCATTCCCAGTACGAATAATAGTTGGAGCAGATGAATTTGGAAGAGAAACTGTTCTTTCCTCCAACTTGATCTTGAAGCTGAAAGCACACAAAGGGGAAACGCACATGAACACGGACGTCCCTGCCACTCCAGTGGGTCCCAGCATGCCGCTGCCACAGAGACGCTGACAAAGCCTGGAACCTATTTCTTGTCACCAGCAGACTGGGCCGGCGGTTTGTACCACTTTTCCGTGGGCAGCAAGATGGTGTGAAAAGGTGACAATACGGGTTTTGCTTCAGTTTTACAGAATGCACAGTCGATGGACTCGTTGCATCCCTCAAATACTGTTGTACTTTTTTTTTTTTTAGCACGGTCTAAATGACCCAGTTATTAACATAGGGCTCAAAGTTATTTGGCAACTGCATTTTGTATCTATCAAATCCACAAGTGAGATAAATTTACCTTTCTGAAATATTTGTCACACGTTCAAAGCCAGCAAGCTGATTCTTGTTCTGCAAGGTGCTGAAAGTGTGTGGGAAGAGGGGGAAAGGCATACGTCAGAAACACATCTTCTAGAGGAGCGCCACGGTAGACCTGTCTGTGAGGGTCGGACTTTCTGGCTTGGCATCTTGCCCCAGGGCTGTATGACTTAGAATCATGACACTTGGCAAATATCTCTCTGTTCTTATCTGGGCTCTGGTTAGTGCAGTGGAAATCCAAGCAAGCACTGCTCCCGGGCCAGCAACAACCTTAGAGAAGGCACATCTATCTCAGCATGCGCATAACGTAAATAGGTGCTCAACGTACACCACCAAGCCAGAGTTCCAAAAGAAACATCTCTCCAGGGAGACCCCCTAAAGTCCAGAACTAGAAAGCACACAACAGGTACTTCCATCTCGGAGGAGAAGGCCCTCTGAGCCTCCAGTCAAGAACAGAAAAGGCTGGCATGCTGTGGTCGCCTGGGCGCATCCTGGGGCTTGGGAGTCTAGGCGGCGAGCACGCGGCGCCGCATGCGGGAAACCCAGGCGAGCCTTCTGCCGCCCCTCAGCCCCCGACTTCCCGATCCCCACCGCTAGGCTGCTCTCCCGGGCGCACCCCCACCCCATCGCGGTGCGAGCTCACCAGGGCTGGCGCACAGCGCAGGTGGGCGAGGGGGTAGCACTGCGGAGCCGCAGCCTCCGCCACCCCGCACCTGCCGCTCCGCAGCGCCGCCGGACACCTCCGGTGGACCGGCCCTCGGGCTGGCGCCTAGCCCTCCGGACCTCCTTAGCCCCGGACAGGGTCGGCTGAGCGCTCGCCAGGCAGCGCCTTCCTCCTCTGCTGCGCGCGGTGCAGTGGCGGCGCAGCCAGAGCCGGCCTCGAGCAGCCCGCGCGACAGGCGCGCGACACCAAGTGGGGCCCGCGCCCACCGCGCGCCCCTGCTCCCGGGCGGGAGCGGCTTTTAGAGGCGGGAGAGCACGGCGAGCGCGGCAGGTAGCGGCTACCCGGTGTCCACCCTAGACCTCGAGGCGCTGCGCCCGGAGCCCCGTCCAGCCGCGCCACCGGGTCCCCTGCCCTGCCCTCCGTGCCTGTGGCCTCCGCAGTCTCCGGGCAAAGTTTGCGCTGTGGGCTCGCCAGCGCCCAGCTGCTCTGCGCTCGTCCCGGCCCCGAGCCCAGGGCGCCGGCCACCCTGGTGGCCTCTGCTCCTTACCCTGCGCGCGGCCCCCGGCTGATGAGCCGTCGGCGAGGGCGCATCCTGCTTCTCCGCCGCCCGCTGTCCCTGCGGCGGGCGCGGCAGGCCGGTGCGGAATTACCGCCCCATGCTGCCGGCGCGAACTCGCCCTGAGCTCGGCGCCGAAGGGACCCGGAGCCCCGCGCTCCCGCCGCCGCCCTGCGGCTCTGCTCCACGCCGCGCCCGAGGCCGCGCGCTGCCCCGCTGCAGATTCCCCAGCGCCCCCGGCGGACTCGCGCTCGCTCTCACCTCTCCAGAGCGCCACATGTCGTGTCTGGGTTTGGGGAACGTCCCTTTGCCGAGGTGCCCGGTAGAGGCCGCCAGACTCTCACCAAATGCCCGGCCCCCACTAAGCTTAGGGGGAGGGCATGGGGACCGCTGTTTTGGGGGGTGAACCATGTTTCTGCTGAAGTTTCTTGTGGGCCTTAGAAGCCCACAAGGTTTTGTTCCCCTCTGGAATAAATAACCACTGGTCACCATTTAGGCGGGTGGCGGGGGGGGGGGGGTACGGCTGTGTGAACTGATAGCGGCGTCTGTAATCTAGGCGGATGCTAGGCCTGCTTATGTCAGGTAGGGTAGCCAGCATCTCCTATTCTTCCTCAGTCCTCAGTAGCCCCCTTGGGTTTGTTTACCCAGCCATTCTTTTTGGGGGAAGAAACGGACATAATAGCACCCTTTTTATTTAATTCACGGAGAGTAATTCATTCACTGCTGGATCTGGTAAGGAAACCTTTTCACAACAGCAGGACATGTTTAGGGTTTTGCTGAAGACTTGTTCCCCGATAAACTAGGGGATGGTAAGTACAGAGGCATGTTATGGGGTCATAGATCTAAAAGTAGGTCACAGGCAGGGACAGGCTTTCAGGTGACCCTCTGCGGCCAGGAAGAAAGACATTGCCTTCTCAGCAGAGACACGGGGTTGATTAACATGATTGGTGTCTGCCCAATGTCTGTAGCACAGTTTCCGCAAGGCACGGACAGCCCATACTAACTACCGCTGGGCAGAAGGAGACCCTTTCAAACACTACCAAGGCAGCTCTCCCCTTGGCGGCAGCGTGTTTCCCCTGGAGGTAAGCAAGGGCTTTTAATGCTTGCTGAGCTGTGCAGTAAGCCCTGAGTTCCATCCTCTACACTGTGTAATCGCCACCTGACTGGCATATGCATGTAATCCCAGAACCCAAGAGGCAGAAGCAGAAGGCTAAGGTTGTTCTTCACTACACCGAGGGTCCCAGGCCAGCCTGGGAAACATGAGACGCTGCCTTTTAAAAATTAAAGACCAGAAAAAGACTTAGAGTGAAGCCCCGGGGTTTGTTCCCATGCCCCATAGTTTGTGGACACAGAGTAGTGACTTCTAAGAGGGATAAGGAGAAGCAGCAGATCTCCCCTTCTCTGCTGGAACCTTCCATAGTAGTGCTGAGCTAAGACTCTCCCCCAGTCTCCAGTTATGTTAGAGAGGGCACTGTGTGAATCTGAGCTCCCTGTTGGTACTTTTATACATTACAGAAATTCTGGTTTTTCCCAAGCCAGAAACTGTAAAATTATTTCAGAAACAGTATGTTATGCCTTTCCATGTGTGTAATTAGTTACCTTGACTAACTGTTACCCACGAGCTTGAATAACTCTGGTGCAAGAGGCTCTTCATGAAATAGAAGCAAGATGCTCCTTCTAGCGGCTTTTTCTAACAGGGATAAATTGAACACAGCGTTTTCTCCATTTGTTGAGTTCTTGGAAGATGTGTCACTACGATAAAGTCTCTTGAGAATTCTGTGGTTAAGATTCTGAATGTCCCCGGAAGGCTCGGGTTGCAGAGTTCTGGTCAGTGAGGCTAATGGAGAAGGGGTGGACTGTGAAAGGCTCATGAGTCATTGCAAGTGCACCCTTAAAGGGAACTGGAGGAGCCGACCTCTTCTCTTGCTCTTTGCCCCTGATGGGCACCTTCCTAAACCCTACCCTCCCAGCCATGGAGAACTAGAGAGCCACAGACTCAAAGGCAATGGTACCAAAATCTTCAGGACTCTGCCCACGTAAGTGAACCTTTCCTACTTGCAAGTTATATTTGCTCCTGACATTTTTCCCCTGGTGAAGCAAAAGCATCATTAAAATCACTGGACTAAAAAGAGTTAATTTCGGTTTATATCTAGCTTGATATGCTTTTCACTGTGTGTGTTACTTCTAGATTTACAAACACCAAATTTACATCTGTTATTCTCTTGACTAAACAACATAATGGACATAGGAAGGCTTAAATAATTAATGAATAGAAAGCTGAACAAAGTTGCTGGGACTATTTGGGGAAAAGAAGGTACACAGAGATTATTTCTGTATTCATCACAGTTACAGATATTATGTTGCCATGAACTGTGTAGCATATATGTGCTGATCTTTTCTTCTGACAGACTATATTTGAAATGTTCATATTTTCATAATGACATATTTAAGCATAAAAAGTAAAGATTATGGCAAATAAGATCAAGTCCTTTAAACTATTCCAACTGAGCATGGGGTACACACCTATAATCCCAGGACCTTGGGGGCCGAAGCACAATCGTGAATTCGAAGTCAGCCTGGGTTCCATCACTCTCTCCAAACCCAGCATCAGCCACAAAATCCTTGCATGAGATCATATTGCCTAAGTTCCTTTCCCTTCTTACGCTGAAGTGATGTCACATTCCCCAGCAGGGTTTGTATGATAATCAATACATTTATAGGATCCAACACAGATGGAGCTGAAGGAACTTGGAGATGACCAAGAGCCCAAAACGTAGAGAAACCTGCAATCCTAGAAGTCTATGTACTGTTACTATCCTTTCAACAGGTTTGGGGTAACTTTGAAGGCAGTGTCCGTCCTGATTAATAATGGGTCTTCTGGCCACATTCCTATTTGTTCATTAGCATCTTTCCTTTTGTTGAACGAAACTGATCACGGTAGCTTAAAGTCTGGGAAACAGTAGAGGGCACCCCAGTTCCACCTAAGCCCAGCGTTGGCTCATTCGGTATTTTATCTCCAATGTGAAAACCTAAAATTAGCAGCTACGAGAGAAGCTGTGTAATGGATGGATGGACATGTTTTACCAAAAGAAGCATTGACTCTGTATCCCCATAAATACAGGGTGCACACTGCGTGTTCAGCAGAGGCTAAGGGGGTGACTGGCTGTATCCATGTAGATGGATATAGTACAGTCACCCACAACATGACAGGTGGCAGCATGTGAGTGAGCCTAGTGGCATTTGTCTTTCAATGCCTGGCTCATTTTACTTAGCATCTCTGCCAGCTCCGTCCATGTTGTCACAAACAGCAGAACTTCCTTCCTTG